AAGGCAGGCAACGGTTGTAGCGGGTAGTCTTGAGGGAGGGGAGCCGCCTTCAGCCCGGACATGTCCTTTCCTTGCCATCTAACCGTTTGGGTGAAAAAGGGTTCAGGGGTGTACGGTTTGGGTGTCAGACGCAACGCAGTCCTGGGTTGATCCGAACTGCCGGGCAGCTGAGGATGGTTTGACTTAGAGGCAGCTGTGGACACCCCCTTTGCAGCTTGGCTCGCCCTTGGTCGGTATGGTCGGTGACCTTTGGTCTGTGACAGTGGACCTGTTGGCGATAAGGCGTTTTTTGGCTTCATGTTCTGTTGCAAGTACACGCTGAGCTCACCAGTGAACTGATGGTATGCTACAGTACCCGGGCCCTGTGCACAAGGCACAGGTTGCCCTCGGTCATGGCACAATTCCGCCCTCCTCACGAAGTGTTGGGAACACGATGAGGAAGATGTTCGAGAAACCGAGCAATGTTGCAAAGCCCTAAACACTAAAACCTTCCGACAGCATAAACAGTGCAAGAGGAAAAGGGGTGACAACAAATGAAAGCCTAAGAAGTTTCTCTCTGGGGGAATTAGATCCAATGGAGGTGGCAGATAGCGTCTCCAAAAGTTTTCTCCCAATCCCAGAAGCTAGGGAGCCTCACCTGCCCCCCCCAAAACCGTAAAGCCTTTACCTTCGATATGATTGAAACTCTCTACCCTACACCCTATACATCATGACCGAAGCCCAGGAGGAGCTCGACCAAGCCCTGGCCCTCTGTCGTACAGCAGCCGCTGGGCAAACTAGGTTGGCGGTTTGGAGACTTTGGGGTGTAGGGCTTTAGGGTTTAACGCAGTGCTGGCTGGCGGAAGAGCAGCACGAAGGGTATTTGTGTCTTGTGCGATGCACAGATGTAAGTTGGTGATTTCCTGGTATCAACGAGCCCACATGCCCAAAAAGGTTCAGGGGTTCAGTTTGCGGTCTTTGGGAGTTGCGGCGTGTCCTAGAGTAGGTGGAGATAGCCGGAAGCCAATGCCATCCGCGCGACCGAGTCACCAAGCTCTACACTCGCAGACAGTGGAGCAATTTTTCTAGCCTCGTCTTGGCAAGGCTACATGCATCAGCCCACATCTAGATGATGCACGGATATCATCCACAGGGCTCTGCAGGCATTAGAGGGGAAACCTCATCTACATCAGGATTTAGAGAAGCTTTGCTCTACCATCCAGTGCTCGGACTCTACGATCTCTTTGAGTAGATGCATGCCTCAAAAGGAATGCTGCAGAAGGTCTGCGAGGGCACAATTGATCTAGCCAGCGGCCTGTTGAAGTGACGATCATACTTTGAGGAGGATCGGCTGCTGCGATCTTGGCACTGATTCAGCGATTTGCATGTATATTGTATAGGGCTCAAGAACAGGTCCTGAAGCCACTGTAGTTTTTAGCCCGAAGCTTCCGAAGCGTGCAAATTAGCAGAAGCCTGAACCGCCAACCCTTTGGGCTGCGGGCTCTGGCTTTGGAGTATACAACAGTATTCATGGCTTGGAGCTGCGTGGGATCGGTGCACTACCGGTATACTCTAACAACAAACCACTACCTTTGGCCATGCGGTCTTTCTGCTTTAGGTCATCTGCCCCACACTGGATCTCACAGATCGGCGCAAGGTGCGGGCGCTGCGGGATGGGCCTGGAGACCCAGACTACAGTACGCTTGCACACGGTTTAGGCTGATCTTCAACTTCGCTGTTTATGTTTTTCTGCGCTCGATGCTAGACGATGGTACCAATTGCTCGACGGTAGGTGGAGGGTGTGCCGTTTCGAAGAGAATGCGCGCGGTCGGTGTCCACGAAAAGCACACCCTACTCGTCGTGCAAACTTGCTCAAGGCTGAAGAAGCTGCTGGACAGCATGCCTTTGTCCCTCAGCCGCGTCCTCATGCTGTGCCTGGGCGGAGCTGGAGTCGGGGCTAAAACACAACCTTTCGACAACGGTGATTCAAGTCTTAGGTGTTGTGAGCATACGTTTTGACCCCTTGCTTCCGACCTGGCTGGCCCCTTCACCTGCCAGTAAGGCTCTGCTGGTGCGAACGGGCATGTACGAAGTGCTTGCTGGGCTCGATTTGACCCCAGCCGTTCGAAAGCTGGCAATCTGACTTTATGGCAAACCAGCCTATAAAGTGGAGGGTTTCAATCAATCCAGGGCATGAGAACTCCGACACCCACCATGTCGCAAGAAGCAAGGAGTGCAGTCGGTGCTCGAAGAAAAGATGGTGGCTTCAACGTAGGCCCGGGCTGAGTGGAAGGGTGATCATATAATAAGGTGTATTAAGTGTAACATAACTGAAATGCACATATTAGTTCCATTATGGCCCTAAACCCTAAACCCTCATTGTGACGATGATTACTGTATTACTACTGCTTCCCAGAACTACGGAAGTCGGGGGCTTAGTTATTAATCTTCAAGGCAAAGAGGGGAAAAGTTCTTCGTAGAGATCGCAACCTTTCACCCAAGGCAGCCCATGTAAAACGCTTTAGGGTTGAGCGCTTAGGGTTTAGGGATAGTTGCATTTCTCAGCGGGCCAAACACTTCAAGCGTCAGGATATGTAGCGTGCAACCAATCCCCTATCTCCCAAACTTTAACCGTGACCACGCTCCAAAATTCTAGATGTTTAAGAAACCTCGGAGCCTCTCTGCAAGCCTAAGTGGCTGACAGATCGCCTATGTCGTAACCTGGAGATAGTGTAGATCCTGAAATCCTAAGCTCTAAAGCCTGTACCCGACCCGTCCGAGATTCCGTCCGACGCCATGGATCACTAAGAGTTTCAGGGGACTTAATAGCCAGGCTTATAAACAAGGCAACTATACTATACCTATATAACCCTAGCGAAGGTACGTATAACTGTACCTACAAAGTCCTATGAACCTCCAAGCAGGCTCCTTCTTCGGCGTCGATTTCAAGACGGGGACATATGCGAGCCTAGAGGATGAGCTCACCTCGCTCGCCAGGCAAAGCGGCTTAGGGTTTCCTGGTACCGGGGACCTTTAGGGTTTAATGTCTTGTGGATTGCAGGTCGTGGCTTTACCGCTCCTGCAGACCACAACCAATATAAGCAATACATATAGACACCCGGTATACATATATACATACGTTACATAGATAGTATGTATGTGTATATATATATATATACTGGCGTAAGTAAACCAGCATGTGCATGTATGTGTGTATGTGTGTATGTATGTAATGTAATGTAATGTAATGTAATGTAATGTAATGTAAATGTAAATGTAAATGTAAATGTAAATGTAAATGTAAATGTAAATGTAAATGTAAATGTAAATGTAAATGTAAATGTAAATCTA